TTACCCTCGCACCGTGTTCGATTGTTGCGCGTGTATGTCCCGTGTGTCGTGCAACTTACATTCACGCCCTCGACAATTGGTTGCTCGTTAAACGTGGCTGAAAAAGAACGGGGCACAGTGGAAACTTTATCGATCATTCTGCTCTCCTCTTCCGAGCTTCCCTTACGACGTATTAATCTCGAAGCCATTTATTTCTCGGACGTGTACCGTGACGTAATTGCTGTCCTGCGACGAGCTAATCAACGTAATTGTTGGCTCGTTAAGGTGTACGCTTACGAATCTGGGGCAAATTTCCCCTTTTCCTCGCTCGTTATCGCCGGTTACCGCTATTTTTATAATCTCCTCCCGAATGCTTCTCGCGAATGAGATCGCATCAGAAGATAGAGGCGATTTAATTTTAAATTAAATTCAAAAAGTGGCCGTAGAAGACATTCGTTTAAGGATCGCCGTAACAACGTTCGCGCTTAGGGTCTTTTAAAATTACTGCGGCAAGGGTTAAGGGAGATCCGGCTTCTTTCCGAACCGAAGTTTTTTAAACGCCGTCACTCTTTCTTTTCTCTTTGCGGAGCGTTAATTTTAGCATAATTCATCCTTGCGAACGTTCCGCGATAGGGGGTCCTTATTAACGAAATAGCCCGGCAATTAACCCTGCCGTTTTTGCGGGGATCTTCCAGCGAATTTAGGTAATTCGAAGTTGCCGAGGCGGATGAAAAAAGAAAAGGAGGTTGGGATCCCTTTAGGGAAGATTGGACGGGTAGCAAGGAATTCGAACTCGATTTCGCGGATTTCACTGTATCAGTGAAATTACCTCGTTTCGGACAGCGTAAATTTCTAAGCTCGTTAAAATTTTTCGTCTCGATGAAATCTCGGAGTTTAATCTGTTAGATTTGGAAAAGTAATGTCACTGCTAAATCTGTTCTGAATTCTAGTACGATCCACGCGCCTTTTACCGATTAACCTTCACCATTATACTTGAACTTCAACTCGACCTTATGAATATATCACTATATTAGCAAAATTAACTTGTTTAATAGGTGCCATTTCTTCAATGGTGGCAGCGAACATGTTGGAGTCTTCTTTTCGACAAAGATTTCTTAGATCAGATTAGATCAAGAAATTGAGCATGATTGTGCCTCTGAACTGTCTGTATCGTCTCGTTTAAACATTTCTTACCATTGGCCCTCATCCTTAAATAAGAAAATTGAGTCCCATCTTAGCAAAGTTATATTGCCTTAGATTAGCTCAAGCTCGTCAGTTCTCTCTTTTCTTTTAGTGAAACTTTTGTGCAACTCATGTATCAAACCGTGGAAAACGAAGTATTGCCGTGTTAGACTTCCTTGTTACCTCTCACGTATCTCTTTAGCCTTCGACGTACTAATTGTAAGCTCTTAGGCTTACGACACAAGGACCTAAGGAATCGATACAGAAAGCAACCGACTTCCGTGCGAAGTACGATTTTTGAAAGCGCGGTCGGAAATTGTTGGAATTATGGGTCCCGAAGGACTATTCGTTAAGGATAGACTACCCCCCCTCTCTTCCCTCGAAGCTCGCCGCAGCAATACACACTTCCGTGGCCGTTAGGCACGTAAAGTCTACGTTAAATCAACGTCGGCGCACAGTTAAGGATAACTTCGGTCGTTTATAATCATTTTACAGGTACTTTGGAAATTTATGGGGCCTCCTTAAAAGGAGCTTGTACAGCCTCCTCCACAGCTTATAAACGTTATCGCAATATTAAAGGAGCCTTTCCAGCGAGTTTCACATTTGCGAGCGCGCCTCGGCCGCAGCTTGCGACGTGCGTCGCGATTAAAATGTACCCACGCCGAGATGAACTTCGCCGAGCGAAGCGGTCAATAAAAGAAACACGGTTTATTAAAAGAACCGAAGATTCAAATCTTAAACGTGTCCTTCAAATGGTTAATTTATATAGCGTAAATTTACATTCGTACGCGCACTTAGAGACGAGAAGCAGACTTCCGCGTCTTTGGCAAACAATCACAGCTTTAGTTGGCAACAATTGTCTCGATAATCTGACGTGGAAATTTAGAAAGTATTGAATTTTCCAATGTTTCCGTTCCTTGACATTCTTGGTCCAAAGTTTGAATAAATTCCGTTTCGTATGTGAAATTCGATAGATCAACAATCAGTGTCGACAGTCGTTGAATTTGATAATAATTTCTTCGTATTTTGGTTGACATTGTGTACAGGAAATGAACATGTCTCTCGTCGTAGCCAAAAACATGCAGAAGTTAACACGTAGAAAAATACTACACCTAAAAAACCAACAATAAGTGTGAAATAAAATATATTCAATAATAAATATATACCTAGTGCGGCCAGTACTGTATATTAAATTATCAAAAAAGTGGAATCGTCGACCTGACACGACACGACACGGAACAGTAGCAGGACGTGAAACCGGTGGAAACGGTAGCAGCAATAGCTAGCGCATCATGCACGGGGTCACGCGTTATTTTCCAATTTGAAAACGTCGACCAATGCTCTACGTCCATTGATCGGCCTTAGATGGGAACCTGTTTCGGCCGCGACACAATCGCCCGTCCTGTCTCGTCTTCGATAAATCGTTCGGGTTCTGTCGATTCGCTGGACAAAACTAGACCTAACTCCTAGCCATCTACCTCGAAACGTACAACGTCGGCTGTATCGAAATTTCGTAGTCATTCTCGGCCAATGCCACGATATCTCCTTGCGAAAGACAAATTCATCTTCGGGGAAAGAATCGTCCGTTTGACTGACGCGATCGCGAATGGCCTTTTTGTTAAACTTGACGTTGTTCCCCCTCGGGGTTTTGTCGGACCCGATCTGTGAATCGGCGCTGTGATCCGCGCTGACAGAGCCCTTTTCCGTAAAAACAAAAGCAGCCGCGCAACACGGCTGCACAGCGTTGGCGACCCACACAAATGGCAGCTTTCATCACGCGAAAACGAGCAAGATAATACTCCGATGGTACGAGCGACAAAGCACCGATACAAAGCCGCCTCGTTTAAACATAAATTGCTGTCATTTTGTTATCCGTTTCCATTGTACGTGTTGTTGTTGTTGTTTTTTCCGCCGAGTTATAACTGCGCGTTCCTTGATACCCACCGCCGATATCCGAAGATGTCGATGGAAAAATCGGAGAAGCTTTCTTGTTTCGACGTGCAACGAAAAAGCTGATAGGGCCATTACTCTTCGGTCGTTCGTGACCGGCTGCGAGTCGTCCTTACCCCTAAATCACGACTGAACATGAAACGAAGAGATGCAAAGAAGAGGAACGTTCGGTGTATGCTTATCATAGTCTTGACTTCTGGCCAGGCGGCCGATAAATCATTCGCCGTGGAGCGAATTTCGATCGGCACGTGCCACCGGGTATAAAGGATTTATGCGAGTGTGCGTGTCGCTTAACGCGAGACAGATTCGGTCAGTCGTGAGAAAGAAAGAAAAAAAAAAAAGAAGAAGAGAAAGAGAGAAGAAGGAAAGAGAAATGGCTTTAAATCAAAGAGGAACGACTGTTCGCCGGCAATTGACCGCGTCGACGTAACGCACAGACCATAAATCGAGCGAATTGGCATTGTCGAGAAGGAAACAGCTTCGTTCTTGAGGCCACGTTCCTTTTTAAAATCAAGCCAACACACCAAGACGCGTTCTCGCTGAAATACAAAACTCTATGACCTGTTGGTGAAAAAGCCTCGACAGCTAACCTAAGCGAGCTTTCTCGCTCGGGTGTCGTGATTTTCGTTTTTTCCCTTTCCCCTCCCTCTCTTTGAAAAACGTCGTTACACTCGGGTTGATACAAAGAATAAGAAAGCAAACCTGACGGAACGTTTTTACAAGCGAAGAAGAAATTGCGTAAAAATAGTATCGCTCGAGCGGAACTACAACGATTGAATCGCAAACTTCAGACGATGTAGAGGGTGGCGGCGACCCCTTGTTTCATTCGTTCGTTCGTTCGTTCGTTCGTTCGTTCGTTCGTTCGTTTGCTCGTCCTGTGTCTCCTGAAAGGAAAGAAAAAGGGGGGAAAGAAAACAAAATGTGCGAGTTTATCAAACGAGCGCGATGAAACTCGCACGAGATGCGGCGAATAAAACCATCCATGTTCGAGCTTCGAGATTTTATTTTAATCTCCCCAATGTAGCAAGACACTGTAACAGTATTTATAATAATTAACACGCTCGCGCGTCGCCGCCGCGACAACAATGATTGCGGTTGTAATATTCGATTCTTCCCCGTCTTCTTTTTTTTTTTCTCTTTTTTTTTCCATTTTAATATTTCAGTCTGAGATTCGATTATTGCTATTTTCATCGTCCCCTCCCCCCCCCCGTGTTTTCATTCAATTCAACAAACATATTTCACCATATTTTTTTTTCTTCTGTTTTGCGATTTTTTTCTGTTTTTTTCTTCTTTATTTTATTCGTTAGGTTTTTTTTGTTTCTTCTTCCGTCACTTCTTCCACCTCCGTCCACCTCCACTTGTCTTCGTCCTGTCGATCACTCGTGCGTGCGCTGAACGAAATTCTGAGAGGGGTTTTCAATTTTCTTGCTCTGCGTTTCAGAAGAGACGGCAACGATTGTTTTCTCTTTTCTTTTTTCATATTTTTTTTTTTTTTCTTTAAATATATAGATTACCGTGAGAGTTTACGTGTTACATGTGTGGTATGTAATGTACTTCTTTCTTCTTTCTCTTCCTCGTGTTACCATGTGTATATAATACGTATATACATACATAGTTTGTTACAAGGCACAGGTAGCTTACACACTTATCATTCGCTGAGCATGTTCTTTCGTTCTCTCTTTCTCTCTCTCTCTCTCTCTCTCTCTCTCTCTCTCTCTCCCTCTCTTGCTGACAGTCGCTTTTCTTTTTCGCGTCTGTCCGTGGTTCACATTTCTCACAAACTCTCTGCACACGCATGCCTCGTTCACGCGGTATATTGCTTTTTCGTCATTCATCCAACAGAGACTACAGTAACTCTGTTTCCACCTTTTTTTTTTTTTACGCTTTCTATCTTCCTCCTTATCGATTATTTTATTTAACTTAATTACTTTTTTTTTCTGCGGAACGACGCTGGGGACGATCGGAGCACGATCCGCGTTCACAAGTGAATTTCACGAACAGATCTCGGATAGATACAGAAACAGCGATCGCGAATTTCGATTTCTCGCTTGTCCACATCCTGTTTTCTTTCGACGTCGATCACGCGGCTGGTTGTTCCGCAAATTATCACGCGAGCGGGCCGGGATCGCGTGACGATCTTTAACGATCGTGCTCGATTACATCGGGCCGTGCCGCTCCGTTGATTCGACGTGATTGCACAATTCGCAACGGACGCTGCGCTGCGAAAGTCGAAATCGAGGAGGGTGGTCGAAACTAGATTCCGATCGACTGCGGCCCCGATCCCGTCTATTCCACGCTCGACTCGTCAAATTGAATCGTTCGACGCGATTAAACCTCGCTGCGGCTAATGATCGATAGTTTATGGTCTTCGATGAATCGCGCTCGTTCCGCGCAAGCGAAACTGCGATAAGTACGAAATTTGCGACATTAGCCAATCGGATGAAAAATGCTCGCGAGGCGGTCAATCTTCTTAATTAACTCTGGTCGATCAAACGATCTCGAGCCGACGACGAATGCCGGTCAAAGTGCTGCGATAATGTCGACAGTTTCAGTGTCGACACGTTTCAACAAGGCACGCCAAGATCATTTCCGATTTCATAAAATCACGGAGTTTTTTTTTCACCGAAACTAGTCACATCAGCGCGGTTAACGATAAACAGACAGTCGAGCATGAATTTACGTAACTCTTTGTTTTGCGCTGGACGTGCCATACGTATGTACGTATGTTACGTCAAGTCGACAACGCGAACGGAAGTTTGCTGTTTCGGCGTGGGGGAAAATCGTAATAAACAAATAACAGAAACGCTGATTGTACAGGTGAACGTTCGCGAATTGCCGCTGTCGCTTTATCGATTCGGTTCGTCCGTTCTGCTGGCAGCTTTTATCCTCGATCATACCCGACACGTGTCACCCAGAGAATCGACATTTTATTAACCGTTCCAGCGACGTATATTTTTCTCGGAAGCTGTGTGTTACTTTTACGCGATATGTTGGAAAATCATTCGTTCGACCGCGGGCGCGAAACCATCGACGACGTTATGTCCTCGATCGCTTGGCCCCGCTAAATAAGGAGAAGCGTCTTTTTCATTGGCTGTTGACCGTGACCTGGTGCGAAGAAACGAACGGTTCATGAATCACATTCCGCTAGAGTGATCGCGCGACTCGCTCGTTCTTTCGTCTTTAAACTACGTCACGCGTATGATTTTTCATCCGATTGATCGAGAAGATCCACAAGGTTCAGCAATTTTGCAAATTTCTGGTTACTTGTGAAAAAGAAGAGAAAGGAAAGAAAGAAAAAAAAAAAAAATTTCAAACGAAACTTGGACCTTCGAACTTGAACGGAAATTTAAATGCAAATTCGAGATACAACGCACACATTTTGAAACGTCGGCGACGCACCTACCGTCCCCCGGGTCGTCGATCAAGCAAGGATCAATCCTCTAATTTAAAATCGAATCGGGATACATATTTTTCTTTTTCGTCTCGTCATTGCCCCGCGGTTCCATCGTCCGTTAAACGCGCAACGCGTCGCGCACCCGGCACTTCCCACGAGACCAAAAATTATGATATATGATCACACATATACGTACATATATATATATATGCATGTCTCATATATACATGCGTAGTCTGAGGTGTGCGCAAACGTAGCATAACAAGGGCCTTCGGCGTTGGTTGTGCTCGATCGCAGCTTCCTCGCACGAGGGCGAACACTTTCGACGAAGAACGATAGAAAGGAAATTTCTGCCGAATGTGACAGACTGGATTGCGCGCGAGGTGATACGCGTGTGGAGTTCAAAGGATTGATTGTGTACGCTGACGTTGTTGTAACACCGATAATCATTATTTATTGAAAATTAAAGTAACAAAGTATTGGAGATTCTCAGGCAGAGATGCTCTTGTCTGTATTATAAAATATTGCCTCCTTCGTCTAAGTATTCCTCTGTGTATCCTCGGACTTTACAGTTCACTCGGTCTTCGCTCTCCAATTCTCTTGCTCTCGATCTCTTTCTCTCCCACTCTGGTTCTCGCGTACAACGCACACGCACACGCACGCACGCACGCACATGCGCGCGCACACACACACACACATACACAGACACACAGCTGCTCTCATATTGCTCCATATGTACCCTCGCCGCGAAAAAGTATATTCTCGTCGTTGTTCGATGATCGGCCGCTGACGTTTCGTTTGAAGGAGGGAAACGACGGGCCGGCGATGATTCGATAAAAAGGTTCGATTGCTCGTCGAGGGATGATTGTCCCTTGATTGAAAACGTCCTCGGTTCGCTGGAGCGTACGCGGAGAGAAGCTTCGAGTAGGGTTGCACGCTCCATCCCCATATGGCACGCGATGCTTTTCTAATCTTTCAGCGACGGTTTCGAATCGGCCCGGATGCGTCACGCGGTATCATTAAGGTTCGCCTATTGCTCTAACAAACGATAAGAGGGGCTAGAACTCTGCCGAATTGAATGCCGAACCGTACAAAGAGACACGCTCGAGATTGCATGTCGAACAGTTCGTTAACTCGCCATTAATCAAAATCGCCGCGTGTCGAACGACTATCGCGAAAGATGATGGAAAACCGCGGGTAAGTCACGGTGCTTCGGTAAACTTTGGATGTTTTGGATTAACCGTCGCCTATCCAACTAGGTTTCTCGGTGGATTACGTGGGCGAAACCTGTTCGAAGTCTGTGCTAATTTCGCCCGCGAGTTTCAACCGCAGCAACCGTTTCGCGCTGCTGCAAATGTCTGCGAATATGGCCGACATTCCGCGCGAAAGACACGCCGCCACCAGGTCGGCGGCTTTATAGGACGAAGAAGATTCAAGAACGAGCGTATAATCCACCGTGTGGGAATAATAAACTGCGGTGGAGCACCGGTACCGACGCGAAAGTAATCCGATAATCCCATTAGACGGGTTTCCATAAAATCGTTAACCGCCATCCAGGCCGCGTAAACGTGTCCTGCCTCTGACTGTGACGTTGCCTTTCTCCCCCTAGATTCCACCCCCGACATCCCGTAGTGTTTTTGCCCGGCGTCGTTCCTTCTCCTCGACTAATTCAATCCAGTCAGTTCATTCATAGATTCCACCGAGAAACCTGGGCCGTCTTTTTTCTTCCTTTCTCACCGCGATTAAACTTTTCGTTCGCAGTGGGGACACGTTTGTCGACCAAGCGTCAAAGCGGTGGTCGACCCCGAAAATAAACGCGTAAGAATATTACACCCGGCCCCGGTTTTACTCTCTCGTTATCCGCGCTTTAAATTCGATTACGGTTTACAAACCGTTCCCCCCCTCGATCAGCGTTTCCTCCCCTCGTCGCATCGCCGAGTCAAATTAATTTTCCGACGCCCCGTTGAAAATTCCAATGGAGGAGCGCGTGCGATGATTCCGGGATAAGCCGAAAACACGGAGAAAACGCGTCAAGTTGAAATCAGGCCGAAGGTGAACACTGGCGCGCGTACCACCCCCGCCGTCTGTCCGCGTACGCCCGGGTTCACGGGGATGAGAGGGGAGCTGCAGTTTGTGCAAGCAATTTTCTGTTTCTCATTACCGACTGCATTAGCGGAATATTCGCGTGCGATATTAGGACCCAATGTAAATTAACTGGATTAAATGCGTCGGCCGATTGCATCAATCTCATTAAGCGGAGCGCATAATGTTTGACGAGAGGCTGGGTGGCGCGAACCTAGGCGGTCGGTCAGTAACGATGTTTGGGGATGCTCCGATAATTATCAAATCCCTCGACGTTGTTTGTGTCGGGCAAATCGAAAATAATAAAACGTCGGGACGTCGACGACGATGATCCGTGATGAGACCTCTCTCTCTTTCCGTCGTCCAACCTTCTGCAAACTTCTAACCGTTGTCCGCGGACATTTGCCTTTTACACTCGCGTTACAAATAACCGGCGTTATCGATTCGGCTGAACCTTCGTTTTCTTTTTTTTTTTTTTTTTTTTTTTCCTTTTCTCGCCGAGTCTCTACGGTTCCGTCCGAACTCGCGTAATACTGATTGGTCGTTGAATCGGTAATTTGCGGCCAGAAGTCGGAACTTGTAAAATTTCGATCGGTCGATGGTTCTGCGCCTCGAACCTACCATCGTCTCGATACTTCGTCGGGAAGTGATGTTTGACTTTCAGTATGATAACCGTAGCGCAAATATGGAACGGAAGTAGCCTGAACTCGAGCTGTCGAAAATTCGGATATGTAAACGGAGCAGTCGAGCGGATTCGATACCTTCGATCAATCCTCGAATGGTATCGTCGGATAATGGACGCCTGCAATCGTTTCTATCAGAATTACGTCAATTTGTAAATTTATGTTGGGTTATTAAAATTTCAGACGTTCGTATTTCACACCCACCCCGATAAAGAGTGGCAGTGAAATTAAATTGAAATGAAAATTCCAAAATAAAGTAACGAAAAAGCGTAAATTGATTGTGACTTCCAATGGTACCGGTTAAAGGTTAATAGACGTCGTTGCCGCGCCCCTGCTCACTCCTCTCTCTCTCGTTCTTTGACTCGTTCTTATCGATTCGAAACATCTTTCACGCACGCTCCAGACGGAATTGGGATTCGAGACTATATTCGCAAGAAGTGCACGCGCGACAGACGCGAGATGGTCGATCGAAAAACATGCTTGGGGAAAGGAAACTTGGTTGTCTTCGTTCGCGTTGTCTTTCGACCGCGGGGCACCTCTGATTGCTGTCACAATGAGCTTATTATCCCTATGAAGCTAGAGTAATCCTTAATCGCTATGTTCTGTTTTTTTTTTTTTTTTCACCTTATGGTTAATGCTAAATACGCTGCGTCTTCTTAGGTACAGTACGGCATCTAACGTGCTAATCGTTTAAAAGTCCTAACCACTAAGTATCCTACTCGTCCGGTGAGGAAACGAACAAAAAGTCGTGGAAAAATAAAGCGGTGAACGAAACGGGGGGAAAGGGGAGAAAGACGCCCTCGTGGCTCGTTAATCCGCGATTTTCTGTGCGCAACGACGGTAAGTAACTTGTCGGGAAGGTACTTCGCCGAGAAGCCTAACGAAAGTCGATCGATCTTTCTCTCTTCCGAGAACCCTGAAAAGGAGAGCGTCTTTCACTCGATTAAATGAACGCCTCTGAGAGAGGAGCCTTTGATCCACCGCATTTTTCCGCATGTCGCGCGAGCATTTTCTTCCACGCTCCGATATTTCCTTCCTTCGTCGACGAAAAAGCACGTCGGCAACGATGACGGTCCCCTCCCCCCTGCCCCCTCCCCCCACCTGCGTAGTTACGTGCTGCTTTGCTCGTTTCTAAAAGAATGTTTTTTTTTTTCTTTTTTCCTTTTCGTACCCTGAGCCTTTGAGACGCGGACCACACGACGTTCCAAAATATTCTTGTTTCATTTCGAGATTAGGGAGAGCAGATTCTCTCAATAACGCGCGAACGAATGAAAGGAATAAAAGACACGCACTTAGGATATTGGAATCTGCGTGGCAAGTGATGTATTTACGAAATGCGGAATTTTTCAGGGATCAGAGGCTCGCTCTCGTGCGCGACGTAGAAATGAACACGAAGGAAAAAAGTTTAACGGCGTAAAAACTACGTTTACCGCGATTGGAAAAGTGGTAAAATAGCGATTGGCTTCTCTTATGTTTCACTCTCTTTCTCCCTATTCACCTTCGTTCCTTTCATTTTTTTTTTTTTTATTTTGTTCGTTTTTATTTTCACTTTTTTTTCACTTTGTTCAGTATCCGTTTGTCTATTGTTGCGTATTCATCTATCGCGCCTCATTGCTCGTATTATCCCCCTTTCGTTTCCTCTCGTCACTCGGTTCGGGTTAATTATTACAAAGATGCTTGTACAATAATATAATATAGACTCTATATTAGTTACAATAATATCGTAGCGTTCTACCTCGCGATCGATCGGTCCGTATCCACTCGCGTCTCTCATTTTTCTCTACATTTTTTCTTTTTCTTTTTTTCCTTTTTTTTTTCCGTTCGCCGTCGCGAAAATCCGATTGGACAAACCAATATAATAGAACATCTCTGGCACAACGTCGCGATTTCCTCCGGCACAGCTTCATCCCCGTGAAACGCAACATCCCTCGTGTACACGGTCGAGCCGCTGCGCGACTTTATTGCTTATTGCTTACGTTAACATGCGCGCCGTCGGGTCCACGGAAAAATCCCCCCGTCTTCGGACATTTAAATAAACCTGACTGTTCCTCGAGATTCGTCCGGTATACCGGAAGCGATACCGTTTTGCGCGCGAACGCGGGCCAGCAGCTCGTCGGAATCGGTGAATCACGCGCGATATTCCGATCCTTCCGACATTTGTCACGGTGAATTTCATTTTGATTCGCACCGGCAACGTGACGCCGAGTTTCCAGTTCCTTAATAAAATATCCGAACGAGCTCTCCGTTTTCTTTCTTTTTTCTTCTTTTCCTTTTTTTCTTTTCCCATCGGTTTGATAATGGTCGAACAAGTGGCCAATCCGTCTCGCGTTATATTCCCAATACCATCAGTTTCCATCTTCCATCCGGTCCCGAATTCCGTCCGCCGATAAACTACCGCCTGAATAATTGCCACCGGTAGTCCTTTATCAGCAGGAAATTTTTCCACGAGACCCGTCAACGCTCGACAGAGAGAGAGAAAAAAAAAATAATAAAAGGAATAAAAAATAAAAACGACCAAGATCGTAACGAGAAAGAATCAGAGCCGCTTGGGAAGAGGGGCGAGTAATCCGGGACAAACGCGCGCGAGACAAGAGGGAGGGGACTGTACCCGCGACTGCGGGTCGGTATAACGGACCGGAAAATCCATCACAGTTACAATTTTACACTTTACACGTTCGGCCCGTTTCGATGTTCTCCCCCCCCCCCCTCCCCACTCCGCGGCGATCGTTCGTGAAATTTCCGCGAGAGAGAGACGCTTATTCCGCTCATTCGGAACCTCGTTCCGAAATGAATTTCCAGCCCTTCGATGATTTTATTTTCGTACATCACAACGGTGTCTCGTCCTCGCGCGCGCCGTGTAACCTGGTTCCGGCTCGGTAATGACAGAGGAAAAACTGTAACATCCGTAGAAATCGATTACTCGCCCGGAAACGTTGAAACGCAGCCAGTTCGGGGAACATTGATATTCCGCGAGCGGCGATGAAATAAATTTTAGCAGCGCTTTGAAATTGGCCATCATTGTTCATTGCCTCGACGCGATGGAAGTTAATTGAATCGTCGAAATAGAGATGTTCTCGAAATACCAGAAATATTTGTATTAAATTTATCATCGGGCGCGCGACATTTCTGTTTAGCCATGCAGAATACATTGCGACCGTCTATGACGTTCAAGTTATATGCGAATAGTTTCGGGTTTAATATGCGACCGATACGGCGAATTATCAGCGGGCGCGATTGTAAATTATTCTCGCGCGTGGATGATCCACGGTTTTATTTGTATGTTTTTTTTGTTTTTTTTTGTCTTTTTTTTTTTTGTCTTTTTTCTAGAAAAATAAAATTCCAGACCGTCCGCGAACCCTGATTCTTTCCTCGCGTGTCTCTCGCGTTCCTCTCCAGGTTTTCAAACTCTCTCGGCGTTACCAAAAATGATCCTACCGCACCGATAGATCGTATTGCGTTGAATTACTTCTCGTTAACACTTCGACACTTTCGCCGCGCACGTGTATCCAGTGTGTCGATCTCGTCTTGTTCTTCGCGATCGCTCTAACAGAACGAAACCCTTTACTCGGCGAATAATATTCCATGTGTTAATAAATCCGTAGCATCGATCGTTGTGTCCGGTTCTCGAAACATTGTGGACGAGCGACGCGTTTTTTCTTTCTTCTTTTTTTTCATTTTTTCCATTTTTTTTTCTTCTTTTTTTTTTTGTATCGTACAATAGAAAAATAACGCAGTTAACTCGGAAGCTTTGAAATATGTTTTTTTTCCCCTTCGGTCGGTTATTAATACAGCTAGCGGCTATTATAACTATTATATAATAGCTACGGCATACATTCGGCTATAACACGGCTAATAGCCCTTTGTAGCTATTACATAACAGCTACAGTGCAATCAACCTTTAATACGCTTACTAATATTTCGTGTGGTAATTGAATCCCGCCGCGGGCTCTCTCGATTGGCCGAAAATTTGTTGACGGGCGAAGAATCCTTCCGTTCCCTTCGAACGGAATATCCGTGCTATCCCGGTGAAATTAAACTCGGAAAACAGCAGGTTCGTTCTCTGCAATTTAGAATTTTCGAATTGTCCTCGAGACGTGATTACGGTACATTTACTACGGTTATAAAGTCGATAGCACTTCAACAACAACGATCCTCGATGTTTCGAGATACAGGCGCATTCCGCTTCCCTTTGTGCATTCGCTACTCTCTTCTACGAACGCTGGCCAAGTATAAAATACACAACATCCACTTACAGCACACTGCAGGATTGTGGAAAGAAAGGAGTAATCCGGTGTAAAAAATATTTGCCGAGTAAACCTGTTCCCCTCGCGCCTTATTAAAACTATTCTCTATGTAGTTTCTACCTTAAAACATAACGACCGGTTGCCGGTCGATCGTCTTACTAAAACGCGATGTCGCCCTTCTCTCGCTATCGACGTCGTTCCGGGCTGGCAATCGATCCCGTTCTCGCCGTTCGTCACCACCTCAAAGAATCCGATCGATCGTGCGCCGTGATCTCGCTCCGTGATATGGTCTAACCATAAAAACTTGTGTAATTACTTTGTTAGTTTTACCCGATTTTTAATTAGCTAGTGCCTATGAGCTACATCGGTAAAAAAACCTACTGGCCAGGGGAAATTCGCGTTCGATTTTCACGACCCCCTCCCCCTCTATCTTTCTCTCTGTCTCTCTTTTCTAGCGCCGCTCTAAAGGAACAAGCGGTTCCCTCTTTCTCCCTCGTGGAGAAAAAAAAAAAATTCCTTCGAGGAATAATACTCTTTCCTTCCTTCCTTTCTTCTTTCTTGCCTTCGTCGGATCCGTCTCCCACTCGAACGATGTTTTCACCCTCTTCCCCTATCTGCTTGATTTTCCTGCTGGTCCTGGAGGAGCACCTCTCATACGGAAGAAATCAGAGTTTTGCCTCTTGTCGCTTTATTAGGGGCGACTTTATTTATTTTTCGTTCCCCGTCGCATCGGATTAAGGACTATCCTTTTTTAGAACGAAGCCCCGATGTCTTCGCCGTTTCGTTCCGTTCGCAAAATTCCGGGTGGTCGCGCGAGCACGAATTTCTCCCGACGGATCAGAGAGGTTGTTGGCAAGAGCTACGGACACGAGCGTTCGAAGCCAAAGTATCGATTGTGCCTTTTCTTTCCCTCGGTTCCTCGGTTTCCCATTGGCTCGGACGCTCGACCGATCCTGTCCGGTATTTCACGCCAAAGGCGGTTATATATATATATATATATATATTTTTTTTTTGTTTTATACACATGTACCACCTCGTCTTGTCACCTACACTCGGTGTCCAGTAACGCCGATTACAAACGGTTGAGTTTTAACAGTCGCGAGATCGTCGTCCGTTCGATTAGAATCACCTGTATATCGCGACGACCGCCGTCAGGCTGATGATCATCAGGTACGTCGATCGTGTAACAAAGCCCCTGTTCTCTTCCATGCATTGACCTGCAAGCAGAAAACCAGCACGTTCGTTCTTATCAAGATCAAGATTCAAAGTAAGGGTGCAAAAGCGGAGCGCGTCGTTTAATTCGACTCGTTTGTCAACGAGCTGTCACAGTACATTTGTCAGGTGAAGTCGTCTACGTGTCGCGGCAAATTATGCGTGGCTGACGCGCACCATCTGGCTATCAGAATTTAACCGGCGACGCGCCTCCGATGACAATTGCCGACGCGACGATTTTGATTGGACACTGCAGTCTGTCGCGCTGTCAAACCGCATTTCCCCCGCGCCGCGCGTAAGAAACGCATCTCGCTGTCGCGTCGCGCCGCGTCGCTTTTTCCCTCCGTCTCAGACAGCCGAGGACGCTGTCGTCGAGTCTAGCGTCGACGAAGACGCAACCTTGATACGTACTTCCGCGAAGGAACGAACGAAGGTCTCATTAAGTGTTCGGGAAAGCGAATTGGCGACTCTTTCTATAAGCCTGGCTTATAGAAGCGACGAAACGGACAACGAGACTGAAGGATCCTCCGTCGAGTGACAAGATAACGGTTGAAGTTCCCGGGGCACTTCAATTTGAACCACGGAGATGAGCGCTATACAGTCGGATAACATCAAACAAATCAAAGAACGTCTCCAAGTGTGACGTACGTACATACACTGGCCAAATTGAACGATTCACGTGGACGAATTTGTCAAGCGATATTTTCGTGGAAACTGTTTTTTTTTTATGTTACGTTAACTATCTCGTGCATTTATAGTCTCGACGAGTGGCACGAATATGTGACAGAGAATCAGAGATACAAAATTAATTGACACTCGTAACAACTAATATTTTGGTGCAGTAACCAAGTTTGTCGAAATTTAACGATTCGAAGTCGTTCTCTTTCGATTTACAAACTCCAGCCACTGTGCCACTTTAGCTTCGTACTCGTTCAATAGGAACTCTTAATTTTTAAAAAACAAATCAGACGGTAAAAAAAAAAAAAAAAACCAGAAGAGTTTCAAAACCATATCTCGCGAGATCAAGGATCAAGAAATTTTGGAGGAAAAAGAAAAATTGAATAGAAAAGGACGAGTGTCGCGAAAGCGGTCTAATTCCTTTGACGACGCTCTCCCGTTCCTAAATCCCGAGGCAAAGTACTCGAACGAAGGAAGGAAGACGGCTGATAATGCGACGGAACAAAACTGTTAGGTTCGTTGCAGCGAAGACACGGCGTCCTCGGCACGGCGGAGCGAAGACCTTGAGGATCCTCGAGAGTGAAGAGGCTCGAAGGGAAGGTACTCACCGGTACTGGTAGCATTGAAGGCCAACATCGGCGGAGGCGGCGGGATCCCCCTCTGGCAGGCCACCTCGCTGGCAGTCAAACTGACAACTCCGCCGCTTTCTTTGTACATGAAGCACAATCTTCGACTGTTCCTGTACGGTTGGGGCCTGTTGTTCTCGCTGGACCAGCTCGTGCCAGGCGCCAGTTGGGTGGCGATCACAAACTGGGTGCCCTCCGCGTCGAACCACCTACCGTGACAGGAGTAAGCTGCGAAAGAGAAAGCAAACGTTTTTCTTCATCCCTTCAGCCCGAACGCTGAGACGAACTTTCAGAATAGGTATATTAGTTTAGGCCGACAGGTATCTCGGCTCGCTCGTTAATCCTCGAATTCTGCCATTATCCTTTAAATAAACTACGACAGATTTCGTAGTTTCAACGTCGACTCTGCTACCAGTGACTACTTTGACTGATCTGTGTCGCAAGCTTTGTTATTTTACACAATTTTAACTGATATTGTCAGGTTTTATTTAGGTAGTTTTATATAGGTAATCTATGATCAAAAGATACTACTCGAGGTTTTAGTCAATTCGTATCAAAATGTCAGTAGTCTGAATATCGCATTGAACGAAAGAGACGAGTTCTCCAATGAAATTTCGACGAGTGACATGAAGTTGGTGAAACGAATTCTGAAACTAGGAACGATGAAATTTCTATCAGACTCACCGATCGCGTTGTCTTCGACGCAGTCCGTCTGAAATTCCATTCTGTCGGCGGTGGAACAGCCGATGGTTATTGTGGTGACTTCGGAGCTGCATCTAGAGACATCTTCCTCCCTCTTCTCTCTCCTCTCGAACGAATCTCTGCCAGAATCCAGCTCTCCGACGTTCCTCCTCGTTCTCGTCATTTCTCTGCCCGACCTCTTCTTTGGCAGATCGGCGGTGTCCGGATAGTCGCCGAAATAATCTTCCTGTACCTCGAGCATGCTCGAGCCATCCGGATCGTCGAAATCGGTCGCCCAGAATTGCCTGATCCGCGTGAAATCGTCCGCGTCCATCCGGAAGTCCTCCGTCTTCGGGTTTCTTTTCGATCTGTCGCTCGTTCGCCGCTGGACGCCCGCCGAACGTTTGGCGAGCTCGTGCGAAGCTCGTCTGAGCTTCGACCTCGACGCACTCTCGGCCGATCGTTGGTCTTCCGATCCTCTTCTGATCTTCGATCTGGCGCGATCGCGCAGCAGGTCCCCGATGTCCAAAGTTTGCTTGGCGGGCACCTCCTCGACGCTGTGATCGCGATGATTTCTGTTACTGCGGTTCGATCTGGCACGCCTGCCCATTCGTTCGTGGACGAGGTACTCGTTGTTCGCCCGGCGTTTCTCCACGTCGAAGTCGAGCTTCCGGCCGCGTCGATCTTCCTGGGTTCGTTCCTGGGCGTGTCGAACTTTTTCTCTGTCACGCTTCACGCCCTCCTGGTGCTGGTTCCTCCGGCTTTCACGGATGTTCCGCTGATTCCGGTTCACCCCCGTCACCGTAAATTTGCCCAAGTAAGGGCACGTACGTGGCTCCGGCGAGCTCGCTGAAATTTCCAGAAAATCGTTCGCTGAGAAACGAGGAAATTCTTCCCCGAAGAATCCGCACGGCTTTTCCCATTAGAATACCGTTTATTTTCGCCCGTCCCCGCCACGTCTTTCCCGAGCACGTTTTCCAGATCGATCTTACCGACGCTCAGACGAGACGGTTTAAATCTTCAAAAATATCGGAGAAGGAGAGAATTGAAAATTGCGTTGTGTCGATTGTGCAACTGTGTTTTTATAATTTTCAACGGGGGGAAGGGGACAGGAGCATATACTCCGTCGAGATGCCAGCCGCGTTCTGAATCGATTAGGACCTCCTCCCGACGCGACCGATAAAACCGACACCTCGATAAACCACCTGTCTATAAACTTTCGTCGAAAGATCCTTTAAGCAGAGAGACACCGGCGAAGTTGCTGAGAAACATCGCGGCCCGAGATCTCCCGACTGAATTACAAATTACCTGTTTCACGTATACCGAAAGGCAATCAACGAGGAACTTTCAATGCCGGTCTATCGATCTTCCTTAAAGACGCTTTCTCGTCGAAAGATCGATTGTTTGGTTGTTAGGAGGATCGACCAAACTATTATCGTTCGGCCTAGCCGGAGCCTAATCAAAACGCTCCTCGATCCGAGTCAAGGTTCGAGGCATTCGTCTTGGAACATCGAACGAACGCCGGCGAGAAAGATGCAAAGAGGAGATCGTCGGGTAGAGATAAGGGGATAAGGTCACGCGGAGTAGCAGAGATCGCAAAGTGAACAGAAGAAGCGCATTGCGGCCTTAATGGAAGCTCGTTAGACAGCGGGAGGGAAGAAGAAAGGAATCGCGAAGATTCCGGCCTAGGAGACGAAGAACTAAGATGAACGAATATAACAAGAGAGCGTGGGATCAGCAATAGGCAGGCACAATGTGAACTCTAACGAGACAAATCTGACGTTGCACCCCTGGGCTAGTCGTCGTCCTCCTCCTTCTCTACTTAGCAACAACCCCTTTCACCGCGCGCGGCGTTTTCACCATCTTGCCGAAGGATTCCCGACAGAATCCCTGTCTTTTCTGTCTTCGTTCGTTCGTTGTTGTTTCGGCATCGCCGCCACTCTCTTTGGGGTATTATTTTCCGGCTTAATGAGGCGGCTCGAGGTGGGCAAGAATCCAAAATGCTAAACAAACATCACGGACTCGACGTGATGGAATATTTGCCGAAGTTTCGGTCGCGCGCGCCCGACAGCTGTTTGCCGAGGACTATCGATTTTTTTGCCTTTCAAATTTCACCTCGACCTCTCGAGAAAACTTTGACCCGCTTGCGCCGCCTCTGTTTGCCGATGTAAAGGATTTTCCTCCGGCGGCTGCTCCCTATCGCCGATAGATTTCATTGTTTTCCTGGCGTTCTAGTAGCTTTTGTCGCTTTAGCCGAATACCGAACTCTTATTCTTACGTTCGGTTTCTTTTACCGATTTTCCTCCTTTTCTTCTTTTGTTTCTTTTTTTTTTTTTTTTTTAAGTTTTATATTATATAATTCAATCTGACTTTGCTGGTATGTGAAACGCTTACGTATGGAAGATTTTTATGGATTAATTATGTACGTTTCATGAATTTTTTTTGTAGTTTTATTGACACTGTAATGAGAGACAATTATCGTGATTATATCGGCTACATATAAAATTGCACGAACAGCAGTTTCAATCCTTGGCCATCACGGCCGACGTAAGATAACAAAACAATGCCTTAAACTCAATATACACGAAAGTCAAGTATAAGTTAATAATGTAATTAAGTACTTTCATGTTTCCTGCGTACAGTCAATATTTTATAGCTTCTATGTTTTACAATTTCTATTTTCGAGTTTGTTTCAAACTTTACCGATACATAATCGTAATAGTCGGATTCAATTACAGTGCTAATGAAATTTGGAAAATGTTTCGTACAACAAGTACTATAACATATTCGTAAAAGTTTTCTACAAGTCTTTCGAAACACTTTCGTGAATCGATGCACGCAGATATAACGATCAAATTATAACAGATCGAAAGCGGAGAAGAACGGAAAACATTCTTTCATCCTGAGGTTTTATTCTCTTTCGTCGCGACCGAGAAATCGCTTTCGACGCTCGTTTGGAGGAAAAAACCAAGTAACAAAAATCTCGTTATTTTTCTGGTTAATTAGACATGTATTACACCGGGTCAAAGGCGATTCCGGCAAAGGAGACTTGATTTTTCCGACTCGTTAGGCGATTCCCGATACGAAAGTCCTGGCCAAAGGGATGGACCAGGGGTGAGATCCCGGCGTGGCCACCCTCCGAGTACTCCTCCACCCTTCTTTCTTCCCCTCCGTTTTCCCTTTTCACGTTTCGATCGGCAGAACAAATCGTGAACTTCGACGATCGTTAATTACGTTCGCCGAACGAAACTTTTGACAATGTATTGCGGGATTGTTGGCCGGGCCACGAATTTCAATGGCAAAGTAGCAAAGTTCCATGAGCGGTTGCGCCCCTGTAACTTTCCACTTTTCGTTCAATTTCAGCCCGCTTTGTTACCGTCCGTGTCGTAAAATTCCGTACTTAATATAATCGAAATTTATCAAGGATTCGATGGACAATAGAAAATGAATAATACCCGCTGGATTTCCGCGTAATTCGACGAGGTTTCAATCTCCTATTTCGGCCGTATCCCAGAGACATTTTGCATTTGACCTCCTTCGTCGCTGTCTCTTGGACCCGTGCAATTGTGCGTCATGTAATTAGTGATGCAATTAGAAACTGGATGATTCTACGATTCTATGATTCTAAAAATTAAATAAAAAAAAAGAAAATTGGAATGGAAGTTTTTGCATTGAACATCTCGTTTTCAACAAAAACAGGCTTTGAATGTACTCGGTTGAAAAATTGACTTGGTACACGTGTACGAAAAATTATATAGTCTATGCTTGTCATTCATTCAGTCGAATATACTTGACGAACACTCGAACTTGATTTTATTACTTACTCCTCAAGTTATTCCAAGTCTCGAGTGAAAAAGTATTACTGTCTCCCTATTTAATGAACGAGTAACATAATACCCTACGTATGTGTGTATATATATATATATATATATATATATATATATATATATATATATATATATATCAAAAAATGCGAATTATCAGAAGGAAACATCAGCTAGCCGCCTCGTTACGCGTTGACGAATTTTTGACAACTTCTTGCAAGCGTTCCTTCAAGCATTCGGCAAAAGTTTGCCGGACAATTAAATTTAATTGACGGTTAGTGGTCGACCGGCGCGAATCGCGTGTCGATGTCGCTCTACTCTCGACGAAAAGGGGAAACGGAAATGGACGCGTTATCATGGCCGCGCGGATCGAGGACGGCTCCTCGACACGGCACTTTCAACTTTTTAATTAATCAATCGACCGACGCCCGCGAACGACTTTCTTTGTCGGTCGAGCGGCCGAAACGAAATGGCCGACCGCGGATCTGATCGATCACGAAAATTCCCCCGCGCTCGACCTCTCCCCGTGCCAGCTTGCGCGCCGTACACCACATACGCAATCTCGTTGCTCTTTTCTGTTCAAACCGTCGAAAATTTAATTACATGATATTGGCTTTCCACGAGGATACTTTCTGTGACAATGTCCAAAGCGTGGAAAAACGCGGAATGAAATTTCGCCGACCGCTGTCCAGCCGCAATTTGTGTCGGCGAGACAATAACCGCAACCGGAGCTTTCAAAAAGTCGCAACATTGACGATGTATGTATATATATATATTTATAATATATAGGGACAAACAGTCTGTAGACTCTTGTAAAAATTGTTTATCCTAACTTTTATCAATAGTAAAATTGTCACCTTTAACCCGTTTGCATCACAACTTAGATTGCATGACTTAAACTGCGATTTGAATATTTCCCACTCTCTGTTAATACTAACATAATCTAATCATAATTTATGCTATGGGAGTATTCCTTTTTTCAACAGAATCTTTAGTAAATAGAATCGTTTAATGGTTATTACATGATCACTGTACATAATATAATCATTAAAATACCTGAAACTATTAAAAGTGTTATTAAAGTGATTTTACTATCTAATTAAAAATAATAACTAATAAATTGTTCCATTGATAGTTTTTGCATTGAAGGATATTTGCATGGCACAAGTAGTTTTTTTTAACGAGAAGTTATTTATATTGCTAGCCTTTCGTACGTTCACGAATATAAGATTCTCAATCGCTGCTCGCGAATTATTCCACGTTTTATAATTTACTCGTGATGTAAATGAGTTAGAGAATGGTCAATATTAGGACTCGCACATTTATTACAGGGACATTTCTATGAATATTTTCGCCTGTGATTTTTTTCGTCTTCTCTTTCTGCCTGGAATCTTTTTAATTATTTAATAATTAATCGCCTTCTTCATTCTCTTCATACACTATATTCACCATATATATCGATAATCTCTGATCTAATCTCCAAAATTTCATCCAGAAATTTGACGTTAATTGCGACACTTTATCAGCTGTTCGTCGATGAATGTATCGTTCGACGATGGATGTGTCGTCAATATAAGGTATAAAAAAGAAACATATTAACGAACTTCATCTCGTATATTTATACGTATCTTTTTCCAAAATTACCTCGCGGCGGGCGTCGACGTGGTCATCGCGAAGGAAACAACAATACGTTGTGCAATACTTGCAGCGGCAGTCCGAAAATAAATCGCGTTAAAGAGCAAACACATTATTTACCGCAACGCCGGAAAGGAACGATAAATATCCAGGTTTCTCCGCTTCGAAAGCCCCCGGGGGAATAAATCAGCCGTGCCGTAGGTACATTTAACAATCGTCAGCTTGCGCAACCGTATAGCTGTTCCGGAAAGAAATCTGCAGGGATGGCGGGGTGGTGGTTACCGGGGATGGCGAGAAAGGTCCGCGAGAGCGAAAAAGGACACGATAGAATGGCACGCCAATTATCTTTGGCGCGAGTCGGGTCCGACGCTTTCTTTGTTTCGTTCGGTC